AGAAATAACAACAATATTTATACCTTAATTGCAATAATCTTGCCCTAATTGCAATAGTGTACGTATCTAATAATATGTATCAGACTGCCCCAAAAGTGTCTTTCTTTTACAAATATGTCTTTTGCAACAATGCATCTTTCTACATACACGAAGCCTAATCTATCAAATGCTGTGATTTTTGTCTTATTGGGTTGGCAACTAAGTGATTGCGGATTTTGTCATTAGCTAGCAATGGGTTGGGTTGCCAACCCAATAAAAGAACAAATGTGGTGCATCTATTATTTCTTTACGAAACGAAAGAAACTTTTGGGCGAACATAATATACCGAAAACCATCAAGCGCCAATAATTATCTAATTATTATTTTATTCGATAAGTTACGATAATCAGCAAATACGTGCATCATCATACGAACAATAAATGTAACGCCTAATTTCTTCGAAACGCTGAAACAACGCAGACATTGTCCATTTACGATTGTTAGAACGATAGAACAAATCTATTTAATGGGAATGCAACGATCGATATACAACGCTTCTAGAGTAGAGTCGTTACAATCAAACGTATCCGCTAGAGTAAGTGAACTCTACTGGACTGGTGCGCGTCGTTAGACAAAAGAAACGAAAGTTCACGTAAGATCGATAATAAAAGAACAATTCGCTAGATAGGTCAAGAATACGAATATATCCACCGTTTACCCGACAACAATTTTGTCGCTTGTTTTTTCACACATTTTTAAACGTATTTTACTGTCTTTTCCAGATTACTTCGACGAAATCATTTGCACACGATCGCCGACGATGCATTTACGAACTTAACGAGCCTTCGAGTATTGTGAGTGTTCCACAAATCGCACCAAAAATTCTTGCAAAAAAGAAAAAGAAAGAGAGAAAAAGCAAAACGAAAAAGAAAGATTACTCTGTGTTCGTAAGAGAATTTATCGCTCGAATAATAAAAAGAAAAAAGACGGATCGCTTGTTTTTTCACACATTTTTAAACGTATTTTACTGTCTTTTCCAGATTACTTCGACGAAATCATTTGCACACGATCGCCGACGATGCATTTACGAACTTAACGAGCCTTCGAGTATTGTGAGTGTTCCACAAATCGCACCAAAAATTCTTGCAAAAAAGAAAAAGAAAGAGAGAAAAAGCAAAACGAAAAAGAAAGATTACTCTGTGTTCGTAAGAGAATTTATCGCTCGAATAATAAAAAGAAAAAAGACGGAGACCGGATGATCCGTTATGTGAAAAAAAAAAAAAAAAAAAAAAAAGAGAGAAAAGAAAAAAAGATAAAAAGGGATCACGTGTAGTGTCCGCGGATCTTTTTTAAAGTTGTAATTCTCTGTCTGCTTTGTAGGGAGCTCGATGACAATTATTTAACAAAAATTCCGACCGCGATCGTTAAGCTCTCTGGCCTTGAAGACCTGTAAGTGTGCATCGATTAAGTAAAATGTAATTTGACAACTTTTTTTTACATTCTATGAATACTACTTCCTTATCGAGCCGCGTCTCCTTCGATCGGATAGTTATATCATCGCGATTTTATCTCCATAATGAGAGATTTCCCGTTTTCTTAACGAAAATTGTTCGCCTAATCGTACCAACCATTATCACTCTGCATTGCTGGGAAATCTTATCGGGGCCGCACCTTGAGATTTAAATTGAACAATAAAAAGACTTCTAAACTTTTTCATCTAACTTCCTGCTTTATCTTTTGTCTCGTTTTTTAACTGAAAGTTTGTTACTGCGGCGAACAAACTTCCCTTCGCAAAGGAAAATAGGACAAAGAAGATGTCGTGTTTTAATAAAAAAAGAGAGGAAAAAGCGAATCAACGAAACTCGTTTCTCATCGGTGAAAAGAAAATAAAGAATCGTAATTTATCTGGAAGTCAGAACCGAAGGAATGCTGGAACAAAAATTCAATGTATGTACTATCGGTAATGTCACGCGCAAAATTTCCAAAATTCATCCGAAACTAAAAAAACGATCAAAGCGATTTATGCAGAGTGATCATGATCGTTATGATTCCGTGGAATATCCTTTTCCTCGATCTTTCTGCTTTTCTATTGCCGATGTATGGTTAAGAAGATAATGACAAAATTTTAAAAATTGCTGAAACAAGCGAAACCGCGAAAGAGAGATCGACGCCGGTCCTTTTGTTTTCCGTTTTCACCGAAGGGAAGGAAGCCAAGAAAGTCGTATTCGTGTATGTTCCGTCGGTTCCGTAGGTCCCTGTCGAACAACCGGATCGAAACACTGGAGGAACACGTTTTTCAGCGTGTCACTAATCTATTGTCGCTCGATCTACGCGGAAATCCGATCAAGGAAATACACGGCAACACTTTCCGCAATCTATACAAGCTCCGTAAATTGTGAGTATAGATCTTTCTCGAGACGATTTGTCAGCTGTTAACCAGTTAGCCGTTGCGACTACTTTGGAAACTTTGAAAAGCGTGCACCTAAAACGTGTCGCAAAAAATAAACGATGACAAGTATACTCGTTATAATATAGAATCAAGATGTTTTATTCTTTAATTTTATTACCGACAGAGCTCGTCATAACACAAAATATTGCCGTTTCTTCACGACGAGTATACTCGTCAAAAACAGCTAACTGTACTAAAAGTAAATAAATCTTGTGGTCAGACACGAAGATCGGACTCTTTTCCATCAGAGATCTCATAATTATAATAATAGATTCGGGGAATAATTGGACTATTGATATACAAGAAAATAAGTATCTATATTTTAAAAAACATCCGCGTATTGTCGGTAAAGAAGATAATTAAATTTGTTTCTCAAAGGGGAAGGACAATGAAAGAGAAAGAATTAAATGAATTTAAAAAATTACATTTGGTATACATGTGGGCAACGTGTTTGAGAAATAAATACAGATACAAATTTAGAAAACAAAATTTGCTCGAACTTCAACTTTCGACCATGTATTATAAAAGAAAGTTAAAAATTTGATATACTTCAAAACGAAGTTAAGTCGAAAGCTTTTATATTACGCTTTAACAATGTAAATAGAAAATATTTCCTTTGGATCAATATCATGCAAATTTCCAAGTCGAGAATAACTAAGGTCTAAATCTGCCAGTTTATCGCTAAATAGAATCCAAGTCTATTAAAAGAAATGTAACGTAGAAATTATTTTCTAGGATTCTTTCGAATCTGAAAGAATTACGGATATTCCCGAATCTAAATGGGACAAAATCGCTGGAGGTATTGAGGTTAGATCGAGCACAAGTGACGAGCGTTCCAACAAGTCTGTGCGAGCAGTGTCCAAAATTGAAAAGTCTGTAAGTGAATTTCGATTGTAACGCGAATGATTAATGCAAATAAACGTACGACAGGATGTAGAATATCAAAGACTGAAGTATAAATTCACCGTGGTAGTTTAATGCGGTTGAGGCAGCATTCTATTATAACGAATTAATTGCACGTCGATATAACTTGATTAATGGCAAATTAAATTATAATACGATGAGAAATTGATGAAGTTAAACTGGCGTATAAATTCGTTGTGCCGCATCAAACTGTCTGGTACACATACATCGATATGGAAGAAATTACCATAACATAAAGTTATAATAATAAATTATAATAAAATTGTGTTATGGTAATTTATTTCATATCGATTTAGTCCGAGGTATCTTAAACGAGATTCCACTATAATGGATTGCCGTACTAATGTAAAGTGGGTAGAATTTCAATCGATTCAAAATAAAATCAGATTCTATGGATAATTAATTCGTAATTCGACCTTGCACCGAATTCTCCCTTTATAAAAATCGTTCGATTGTTTATTTCAAAAATGTTATTTCTTCCCCTATCGAGATTGTTTATTTATTGAAATTTATTTTGACCGTTTCCAGCGACATGAAATCGAATTTTCTAACGGAGATGCCAAATTTACGAAACTGCAGCGAACTGAGGGTTCTGTAAGTATTGAGAAAGCAATAATTAAGTAGTTGGGTAAATACGAGGTTCGCAAAATTAAATATTTATTTTATACATAAAAAGGAAACATCTCTCTTTCCAGGGATTTGGCCAGTAACGTGATTCCTTCATTGCCAGATGAGCCGTTTAAAGGTCTGAACATGTTACACGACCTGCTTCTGTCGAACAACAAGCTGCAAGTGATCCCAAGCGACGCGTTCGTCGGGTTGTCAAGGTTGCAGGTGTTGTAAGTGTCGTCTCTCGCAATTAATCCCGTGTAGGTAGTTCACCGTTATCGTCTTGAAAAAGAGGACTTTATGTTTCAGGGATCTAGAGAGCAATTACATCGAATATATTCATCCCGATGCGTTTAAAGAGACGAAACATTTAGAGGATTTGTGAGTGTCGAAGGAAACCGCATTTTTACTTTAAAAACCATGACTGTATTCTATCTTCTATATACAATTCTATGTATAATTATATAGAGTAACTAGTAATCGAGGAGCAGAGTAAAAATTTTGTTAAATTTATCCTTTCTTTCGTGATTTATTATATGAAAAAGAAAATTAAACTAAACGTAGGAAATTTCAAGTAAAAGCAGGGTTTTTAATTTTCTATAATTTTATTCTTTTTTAACACATTTCCTTAGTAGTATTTATTGGCTTGTTATTACACGCTATACATTTATTTTGTATTTTTTAAATTTCAGAAATCTCGGGAATAACGTATTTCCAGCACTGCCAACATTGGGACTGTCAGGTCTGTTACATCTTAAGACGTTCAACAACCCAGCATTAAGAGAATTCCCGGCTCCCGAAAGGTTTCCACGTGTGCAAACGATGGTACTGTCGTACGCTTATCACTGTTGCTCGTTCTTGTCGGTCGAAGTGGAGGATCCGGTGACCAAGTCCTCCGTTCAAGAGTCGATCCTGTTCCCAACTGACAACGATTTTGATATGATCCTCTGGAACTCGAGCTTTACCGATATCTGGCCACAGCTTAGTAAGTAGCTCAATCGACTGATTCCCCGGTTGAGATCCTTCGAGCTTTCATAGTCTGGATCCTTCAAGTTGATACTGTTCGACATTTCCTTTTGTTCTATATTTATCATTATTCTTTCAAGAAATCCTTTTATCTTTCTATCGACATTTCAATCTTTTTTTAAGATATTCGACAGAAAAATTATAAATACAAATCTATATAAATAGATTATATTTACCGTTCTTTTTTAAAACTTATATAAGTTTATAATTGAATTAAAAATCTATTTTTTCCTATTTTCTAGTTCCTTCTTGCCCCTTTTTGTCATCTCTGTATTTTTTATCACGGTTGCAATCTGTGTATTTTTGCACCTTCAAATATAAACACATATAAATATGTTTGAACTGCATCAATTGAAGATTCCTTTGATTATTTTACTCATTGCCACTAATCATCTTATCATGACACCTCTCACAACAGTATCAAAATACTTCACTAACAGATGAAGAAAGTAACAAGTTTTCGGAGATCGCCACCGTATTAGAACATTGTAACGGAAATGATGAAGATATCTACATCAATCTTGTAGTAATAAATGAATCGTAACAGCGAAACAATTCTATCCTGTTAAAAACTTAGCTTGTTACATTTTAGTTTATGAGTCGACCGACACTGAAATGCTGCAAAGCGCAAGCCGCATAAATTCATTCACGTTGTTTAAGACTGTTTCAGTGAAAATTCAAGCTGTACAAGTTTTGAGAACATTCCCAACAATCCACATGCGAACACCGTTTTTCCACATGGATAAACAAATTTCGACATTCGAGAATTAAACACTTCAAAGATAGAAATAAAGTATTCCACTTGAAACAAATTACATGATGTTTCGACTATCATCTATGGCGAATCTAAAATTCATTTTACAATTAACAAGGTTCAAATTGATGGACAAATTTTCCATTTTTCTATACTTCCTCTTTTTAACTCTTTGATATCAATCTTTCTATTGCTCAGAAATATTAATAAGAAACATAAATAATTATTATGTAATAAATTTTCCACCTATAATTAACTGCTATTAATACAGCGTATTTCTTTGTACATATTATTAACATTTTGTTTCAATGAACGTAAGAATATCTTGTAAAGCTCAAAAACATATACTCAAGCGAAACTACAATATACTCTATTTTAAATTCGCCATTAATTGAAGGTTCTCAGAGAATCGTTAAAAAAGGCATAAGTTCACGACAACACACATTCTGCTACGCGAGAAATCATCCAAATATCTCTCTTCGATCATCGATTCGTTCAAATCAAATAAAAAAAAAAAAAAAAAAGAAAAAAACGACTTTGCAGCACTGAAGTGATGACGTGTTCTAGATAACATGACCGACAAATTTGGCTCGCAAATAAATGAACTTTGGGCTAACTTTGGTTCAGATTTTACGTACCCTGGTAACCTGCCCTCATACGTTGAGGATTATTTTGAAGAGCAGAACAGCCGAGCTACCCAACCAGCTCGAACACTGCCTTCTCACGTACAGTGCCTACCTCAACCTGGTAATTCTATCACAAGCTCCTTTTCAGACATTCGAGAACTTTTTAATCACAGTATTACAAAAAGCCTGAAAAAAAAAAAAAAAAAAAAAAAAAAAAAAAAAAAAAAACGACTTTGCAGCACTGAAGTGATGACGTGTTCTAGATAACATGACCGACAAATTTGGCTCGCAAATAAATGAACTTTGGGCTAACTTTGGTTCAGATTTTACGTACCCTGGTAACCTGCCCTCATACGTTGAGGATTATTTTGAAGAGCAGAACAGCCGAGCTACCCAACCAGCTCGAACACTGCCTTCTCACGTACAGTGCCTACCTCAACCTGGTAATTCTATCACAAGCTCCTTTTCAGACATTCGAGAACTTTTTAATCACAGTATTACAAAAAGCCTGAAATATTTCGCGATTTACAGGTCCTTTTCTACCCTGCCAGGATCTCTTCGACTGGTGGACTCTACGTTGTGGTGTATGGGTAGTATTTCTGCTCGCCATGCTTGGGAATGGAACTGTAGCGTTCGTGTTAATATTCTCCAGGAGCAAGATGGATGTCCCACGATTTCTCGTTTGCAACCTTGCAGCAGCAGACCTTTTTATGGGCATTTATCTAGGTTCGACTAAAAAAAAAAAATACTGTAAAGAATGTAAAAATATCGTTCTATGACGTAAAATCATTTTCTACTTAACATCACTGTGTATAGTATCTCTTCACTATGCCATCTGTGTAGCTTATTATTTCTACGCTATCTTCTTTTTCGATTCAAATTTATAGTTTCAAATATATATGTTACAATTTTAGGTCTTTTGGCGGTGGTGGACGCTTCTACCCTAGGAGAATTCCGGATGTATGCCATACCATGGCAAACTTCCGCTGGATGCCAGTTAGCCGGCTTTCTAGGTGTTTTCAGTTCTGAGTTAAGCGTGTATACGTTAGCAGTTATTACTCTAGAAAGGCACTACGCCATAACACATGCCATGCACCTGAACAAGAGACTTTCTCTCAAACACGCTGGTTATATAATGATTGCTGGCTGGGGTTTTGCCCTGTCGATGGCAAGTTTACCCCTAGTCGGTGTATCAGATTACAGAAAGTTCGCTATATGCTTACCATTCGAGACCAATGGAAACGCGGCGTTGGCGTACGTGACCTTTCTCATGCTGATCAATGGCGTTGCGTTTCTCATATTAATGGGATGCTATCTGAAGATGTATTGCGCGATCAGAGGCTCCCAAGCGTGGAACTCAAATGATTCTCGAATTGCTAAGCGGATGGCTCTGCTGGTGTTCACCGACTTCCTCTGCTGGGCCCCCATAGCGTTCTTCTCGCTGACTGCCACGTTTGGGTTGCAGCTGGTGTCGCTCGAACATGCGAAAATATTCGCCGTGTTCGTACTGCCATTAAACTCCTGTTGTAACCCGTTTTTATACGCCATCTTGACCAAACAGTTCAAAAAAGATTGCGTACTTATTTGCAAGGCGATCGAGGAGTCCAGGGTGACCAGGGGGATCGGCAGATGCCGGCATAGCTCCAACTTCAGCAACAGGCAGACCCCTGTAAATACGAATAGCCTGGTAGATAGGTCGTCGCGAGAGAATCAGGCACCGTGCGCCTGTAATTCAAGATTACTTGAAACTAGCCAGTGTTCTGGTTATCGACGATGGGGCACCAGGATACTGTGGCCATGTGCCAGGGACACCAGGCCTAGACACGCACGCAGCGACCAGTACGCTTATCAAATCGCGGAGATCCAACAGAAGCAACATAAACGAGCCTCGTCGGTGTCCTCCAGTGAAAATTTCTCTTCGTCTAGATCGGATTCCTGGAGACAAACTCATCATTGCGGTATTCCATTGAGGTTATTGGATCCTAAACGAAGAGCTTCTTCGTGGTTGATCACCAGGAAACCGTCGCAAGAATCGAACCTCAGTTCCTCCAGGAACGATTCCTCCGGTTCTGCTACTACTGCCAGCACCAGCACCTGGAGAATTTCAAGGTCTAGTGCATCTTTAGAGATTAATGCGAGGAACACGCCTAGGCCAACTAGGTCAAAGCCACGACTTACCCGTCAGCTGGCCATCCAGGAGCCTGAACCACCCGGATCACCAAGCAGATTAGCCGTCAGGCTCCTCGCAACCATACCCTCCGCGGCAGAAACCAGTGACCAGCAAGATGACGACAATACGCCGCAAAATTGAACGATCTTGCACACACTTCAGTTTGTTAGAGATTATAGTCGGTTGTAATAGAGTAAAGACATGGGTCACGTTGCTCCCGAACGGTTTCAGTATTAAGTGTTCTCTAAGAGGTATGTGAGGAAGGAGAGAATCACTCCGTACATTGATGATTCTCGTTGTTGCATGTTTGAGGTGATTTGAGCGAAGAAAAAATTGACAATTTAGTAGATTCTTCTTTCAACGTTTGTGATTAAATACGTTGTTTGTAATATACGTATATATATAATATTGTTTAAAAATATTACGTCTTTATTTTTTGTTTTCTTCTGGATTGTTTCTTTGGTAAGGAGTCTTTTATATTGAAAAATCTGCAAGGCGTTGAAAGAGGAAGAATATAACTATACTTTTATTCTCTTTATACAATTATTTATGCTAATTTCAGTAGAAGAGCGAACGATGTCGTAGATCGTTTGGACTAGTGGAAGAAACAGGATCAATCTACCTTTATTGACCGTCCGTTACACGTGCACGTAGGCAATTGCACCAAGTGCAACTGGTGAATACAATAGTCATATTCGTTAGATACTGCCAAGGATTTTTAACATGTTGACTGTCAAGGGAATTTTATACTTTTTACGAACATTGCATAAAATGATATTTCGTTTATATCAATATAAAAAGAAAGTAAAGATACAACAGCAAAGAATTTGCTATAATATTTTTCACATGTAATATTTATTTCTATGTATAAGTGTAACCTGAAAATTTATCACGTATTATAAAGTTTCACCAAAAAAAATTTCCAAGACAGGCAACGTGTTTATTTAATAGTATAACATACTAATTTAATTTGACAGAAGAATTCAAACATATGGAGAAACGTGTCAATTTCATTGGGTTTTCTACCATAAGAAGAGTCGTAACTTCAAATCCATGACGATGAACTCAACGTTCTACTATAGTTTTCAATTAAAATTAGAGCGTTGAACTATTTATTGATAACTTAAAAATAGGGCACACAGTATTCTTTCTTCTTCTCTTTTTTCTTTTTTTTTTTTTTTTGTGGAAAATTATTCGACTCAAAAGGAACTCGAATGCTTCTTTATTCGTTGTTCAAAAGAAAATCTGTTTATCGCGAAATCAGTATTTCAAATCCATTGTTCGATTGTTAATAAGTATGCTTGTGTTTTCATAAGACTGATGGTTTATACAATTTGTCCTATAATTTTGGATTTCTAGTTGAAAATCTGAACACGTAATACGATTTCTAATCAAGTATCATGATACCAGTGACGAAATATCTAACGATTAATTTATTTGTTAATATCCAAGTTGGTCGATACATTCTCAAATAAGTTGGATTACATTGAAATTTGAATGTACTCAATGAATAAATCCTTTTTATGTAAAAACATCTTTGTAGGGCAGGAAAATTGATCTTAGCCTGAGTCATGTAGCAGTATATAATTATTTGAGAATTTATAGACTAACTCGAAGCCAATGTATCCATTGCTGTGATCGTTAATCACAAAGATGAACGACCATAGATTTGTGCAGTTATAGTTAGTTGATCGTTAGGTCACAGTTAGACCATTCTAGCCTAAAGACTATTATAAGATCGTTACGGCGTGTGCAGATGTTTATACATGGTTTTAAATTAATGACAAAGATATTCGCTAGTATTAGTTACCGGACTTAATTGTTGATGAGTGTGTTATTTCGTTCTTCGCGCGATTGTTTCCATGTTTAATGCCGTTTGAGACCTTCAGATTGTACTTCTTGCCTTTTTGGGAGGATATTCTATAGTTACATCCAGTTTTATCAAATAGGCAGTACCTTTTAGACTTTTAATAAAACTTAGGAAAGAGAGAATAGAAATTAATAAAAAAAATTATAAAATAATCTTATATATATTGTATTATACATTATATATAAAATAATTATTCGTAAGAAAAAAAAACAACACACTTGATCACTGCAACCTGATAAAACTATTTGGACTATAGACTTTAACATATTGTTTCAGAGAAAAACTAGAATTTACATCTGAAAATCTTGAACTGTATAAACTGTATGAACCTAAGCCACAGAAGGCTACAAATTCTAATTTGCTGCAACCATGTCTAATTTTGTCGGCAGTCAACATTGGTGTAACACCGATGGAAAACATGTTTTGCGTGTGTGTCCGGTCCAAACTATTTAATAACGTTTTTCTAATAAAATAGCGCATTACGACCAACCGAGTTGTTGCATTGTGTTACCCTGGAAAAAGAGAGAGAGGGATAGAGAGAAGATTCAATAAGACTAAAAAACAGAAATTAGCTAGGAGCTTCAGGCTTTTATGAAATTTCTTTATTTTTGATCAATTTCTCTATCACGTTACAAGGAAGACCTATCTCGCCATTAAAACAGGCGAACAATATAATAGTAACATAGCAGGAATAATTTACACGTTTATGTAAAATAAATCCAAGTTCGAATAGCCCGCGCTTCCCGCGCCGGCGCATAAATACCTCGCCAGCTGGAAACATGTGACTTTAAGTCGAATTATTGTTAAATCGAATTATTGTCATACTTTATGGTACAAGGGTAAAAATGAAACGTCACATCGATTAATATCCTAAATATTAACCTTTAATGAACATTTAATTATTGCTTTATAACGGCAAATTAGCTTGGTATACATTTCAGGTACTTTATTTAAATATTGAAAACGTTAAAATATGTGTTCTAATGGGATCTTTTAATATGTAAAAAGTAGTTACTTCTCAGAATTATATTTTATAAATATTTTAAAATCCATTAGGACCAAGAAGTGTTTGATTTATAAAATTACGAAGAAGCAGATCAAGAATTCTAAAGCAGTTGCAGGTCATTCCCTTTCGAAAGATTATGTCATTGAAGACAGGATATAGAGGCTAAGCATAATGTACAGTTCGAGTCTCATATTTTCAACTGGTAGTATATGTAACTTATGAAGTAACGCGTACCTTTGAACTATACACGTATTCTTCCTTTTCGCATCTCTTGCATTCTATCGTTCACTCTTCGTCTCTACCAATAATTAGTAAACTGGAGTCAGATTTCAGTATCAAGCGATATAACATATAACAAGATATACACAATCTTAAAAACTGTCCTTTATAAACATCACTCGTAATTATAAAATACATTTTGATCTGAAGTGTTCTAAGAAATTCTACGCACTGTGACGACCTTTTAACGGGTCCATTAAGTACCAGCATTTGTATGTGTTATGTTGCTTGAAACCTGCGTTTTCCCTAGAGTTTTGACAACGACTTCGTCACGTTTCATTACACTTGTTTCAAAATTCTTCCTCGTTTTCTTTCTCTTTCTAAATTCGATCGTTCCAGAATTTATATGTTTTTTTGGATAATTTCGACTCTTATACCACGATGAGAAGCTCCTTGGCTTTTTTACAACTTCTATCGCCATAATTCGGTGCTAATGACAAATGTAACGTCTCAAACGATTCGTTTGATATCAAGAATATTAAACACAGGAAAAGGGGACAAACGAAATTAATTATTACGGAACACCAGGGGACCACCATAACATAACGTTCCTGAGAAACTTATATCAAATTATTTTTTAAACGCTCGCTTTCCGACATATTGTTGCTGGGCTATCATATGAGGTAAGAAAGATTGCAGATTACCACTTGTATCATAGTACACACGCATACCACGTACGTCAGAAGAATTGACGAAAAATCGAAGAGAGAAGAACAGCCAGACTCTACCACTCAAGCTAACAATAAGTCAGTGTATACAACATACTTTTATTTTCAACTATAAAGTACACATATTCACAGTACTTCGCTTTTAAGAACGTTCTAAGATATTCTCATCGTTTTAATCGCTACTATCTTTCCAACAAGTTATTACGAATTCTCAACAGCTATTAATTATTTGTAGGAATGGTTAACGTTATATTACGTTCGCTTAAGAACTACATAGAACAGTCCGAAGAGAACGAGAAGACTATTGAAAGGGGCACATATGATACATAGAATATTCACAACCTGGCAAACCATCTTAAAGCTGGTACTTAATGGGTCGATCACGAAGTAACACGTTAAAACGAAGCTGACACATTTTATTCTCACAGAAATTGTTAGTGATCGATGATGTATCTGCATAGTTCTCGACGATTCTGCGTTCGTGCGAGTCTCTTGGAACGGAAACGTTGGAAGGAGAAGCCAACGAACTTAGTCGTATTACATCTTTCAATTGTCATTCTATAAATTCATGCGAATAAATCGTTCTACGATCGCGTAAATCGTGCTCGATATTGCAACAGACGAAAAGAGAATCACGCCTTACAAGGACGGTACACGATTTTTCGGACGGCCTGTGATTTCTTTTCCCAGTCGAGAAAGGTTCCCAGGTTTCACGCAGGGAATACAATTTATAGTTTGCACGAGAAGAACGTCGCAAAGAGCTAGTTAAAATTGACCTTTGCTTTTATTCCGTATGTCAGCTCTTACGATAAATCATACAACCATAAAGATGTCAGGCGGTTTGATCAACGACTTAAATCGTGGGAGTGAGCTTCTTTCTTCTTTCTTGTTTCTTTTCATTTGGAGAACATAGCATACCCGACAAAGGGAAACATGATTTATACATCAGATATTAACAATATTTCTTTTTCAGTTCTGCTGGGGAACACGAGTGTCACACGTGTTACATATTGCTATTGCAAGATTTTCTCACTTATTAATTCATTGCAGTCTTAAGTTTTTAATCGAACGTAATGCATCGTATACCTATAGGAAAATTGATTTCATTCGAAGATGAAACCTTTTCGCGGAACAATCGGATACAAGCTAAAGAAGAAAGATATTTTTGAAAAAACTTTTCTGCTGTAGAAGACTGCAGATGAATCAACGGATACACACTTTCTCAAATTTAACGCAACGTTTACCTAGCAGTTTCGTTATCTACATCTTTAAATATCGAAAAAGTGTGCCCTGAATAGAGTTTGGACCATTTTCTCTCAAGCATTTTAACAACGATACTACTGTAATGATAAAGTTGGCAGATTTGTATAATTGGTAAACAGTGTGTTACGATAAAATTGATACGATTATACGGCTGTATTTTTACATATACGGAAGCCCTCGCAAGCTGTGATATCTCGTTCGAGATAAAAGTTTGTTTAAATACTTAACTACGACAATCTTCCCTGATGCTACTATTCTATAATACTATGATTGAGCCTAGAAGAACGTTCCAACTATCGATGCTTGCAACTATACCTCTTCTTATTTTTCACGTAACGCTACATAACGTTAATCGAACTTGGTCCATTGAACGTCAGATCGCTTCGCTTATTGCTCTCTTACAATACGTCCCTAAGTAACTCGTCCAGAGGTCTGGATCGATGTCTGTTCAAACGTGTGTATCTCTACAGATAGAGAGACGCCCCCGAAAAACACACTCGTGATCGTACTCATAATTAGTACGTTGTCGTGATCAGAAAAAGAAACTGAGACTAACCCTGAGATACAAATGTGTCAGTTTGCCAGTTAGGAGAGGAGCTAAGTAAGCGTCATCTGGAACAATAAGCTGGCAAGAGGAATGCGCATCGCGTGAAAGGGAAAAGGAATAAGGGCGAAACAAAAGGAAGATTTTCCAGGATACACGTAGAAAAACCGCAAAATAGCGAACGAAATCCACTGCTCTTGGGTCAGGGTAAAGATGCACAACAAAATAAATATTAAAAACATCGGGTAGCACAAGAGAGAAGATCAAGCGAAAGTGGTCGATTAATCGTGCAGGCATTTTGGAAGAACAAGTGAAACAAAAAGGACAATAAGCGTTTATTCAAACTCTCCGTGGTCTAGGTTCTCTCGAATTTTCATCTTCATCAATTTCTAGACGTTCGCGTATTTCAATGACTTTCAAATTGTTAAGCTTCCAAGTTTTCAGCTTCTCGAACCTCCTAACTCTCGAATTTTCCGATTTCACGTGCCAATTACAAACTTTTGCTAATTAGAATTCGAGTCGAGCGCATCATTAAATTTCCAAGATAGAATTCCTCTTCGATTATGGAGAAACCGGCGCACGGAAAGTTAATCGACGCGAGGGCGATGACACTTATCAAAATTGTCTGTAACAGTAGCTTCGCATATTCATGTGATAATGGTCGATTTAATACTCGAGTTTAAATCTTATCGCACTATCCTTCTTTACATGGTATAAGTTTCAGAGAGTTCCAGCCTCACCGCTTTTAAGCTTCTACGTTTATATGTACACGGACATACTTGTGTGTGCATGTGTGTGTGTGTACATAATGTATATACGTACATATACAGTGTATATACATAAAATGAGAAAAATATGATAAGAAAGGAAGAAACCACTTCGTCCTGTATTGTATGTTCGTTGCCACGCGCGACAACTGTAGAGAATTATGCGTAATACGAGGAAGCGATAATAAGTTAATTCTACAGTCTGACCAAAAACAGTCAGTCACTTAAGGTCACTTTCTTAATTATAAATCATCGTACCCTTTCCTCCTTGCTAAACCTCTATCTCGATAATTTTTCAACGCTGTTACAAAGGGAGTTAGATAGTGCTTTCCATTCCGTACTAATAATATCCTAAGCTTTCAGATTTCTAGATAATCTGTGTAATAGCGTTCTCCACTATTATAATGATGAACGAAATTCTAAAGTATATGAAACAATAGAGATTATTCGATGGCCTTGAACGACTAATTGATTTCAGGCAGACCATAATCGTTTAAACATTAGAAGGTGTCGCAATATTATGAACGAGTCGTTTGAAAAAAGAAGGAGAAAAGAAGAATAAACGGCGCATAAATTGAATAAAAAACGCGACGATAAAATGTCACGATTTATGTACTCTTTTATGATTCATGGAAGACTGTAAATAATTTGAACTAGAGATTCTCTATGTGGTACAAGGCAAGCACAAAAGTCAGTTTTTATGCTAGTTCCCTTCCTCTCTCTCCTTTGAGATTCGTGAGCTTTATTCGTAGTGTTAAACCTAGTAATACTTGCACACATTATCGTGTAAAGTCACGTATAGGAAGAAAAACAGAGACGTCTTAATGATTATTGCTTTTCAACGATATTCTATTTACAAATCTTCATGAACCTCGAAGGATGAGTGTCCTAAATCTCTTTATGATCATTTGTTATTATGTCATTCCACAAGTATGAATTTTATCAAGCAAGGAACTAATATTATGGTTGACTGCGGTTAGGTGAACAATTTCACTTCTAAAAAATGAGAATTACTCAAAATTCACATACTTTGGAAAATACTTGAAATCTGATCAACTGCAAATCCTCTTTCAATTGTTATTTGTGTTTTTATTGTGTTTAATTGTGTTCTTAAAAAGATAATATTAAAAACGCTACCTCACTCGTGGGATGACTTAATAGTTGAAGATATTTTAGGTATTCTCTTATCTTATTATCGCCTATTTCAGAACAGAGCTCTGCTCCTTACAGATACACCAAATTCAACAATGGAATCTGATATTCGTGCTGTTTAACCGAACGCGATTAAATGGAAAATATCGTCATTAAATTTCGCAAGTTTTTCAAGAAATGAAGACACATTCGGATAAAGAAGGATATAATAACTCAGCGTAATACGAAGAAAGATAGAGGGCAATTGTAATTTGCAAAAAGCAAAGCAAAGATAAAAAATGATAAAGTGTGTGAGATCGCGATATTTAAGTGTATATTAAGAAATCAAATAGGAAGGCGAAGAGGAAGAATTTGTGCTGGACCTGTACTGTAGGGGCCAAAAAAACAATGAATACGAAAAATGAAAGGGAGAAAAGACAAAAGAAAACAGAAAGAAGATTTACATTTAACGACTACCACTAGTTCATCGATTGAAAAAGAAACAAAAAAAAAAGGAACGAAAGCTTCAGTACGCTAGAATTTCGTGTTTTTGCGCAAGAGAAACAAGTCACGATGGATCTAGGAATGAGCGATCGCTTTTCTTTTTCTTTAAATAAAGATCTATGTTGGAATTATAATACCGGACTCGTGAATTATAGTCAAGAAATGAAGAACTTGTTAAAGCAGATACGACAGAAGCTTCTTTCTTAGTAGATTTCGCTTAATGATTACTTAGGCCGAGTATCGTCATGGAGAAACATCGGAGGAACATACATTTTTATAAATTGTAATCGATTATGAAATCTTTCTAGAACTTCATTCATTGTTTTACTGGCGTTCGAAATAATTTTAAGAATGAAAATGCACGAAAGAATAGGAATGGACCAAGTAAAGTATTTCCACTGCTTCAAAGAAGAGGTGAATACGTTGTTAGAGATTGTAAAATATCGTGTTCATTGTAGCTGTTCAAAGATCAATTTTCACTATCATAACTTACTACAAAACTTAATCCAAAGACAATTTATATTTATTATAAATATTTAAAATTGAGATTCTTTTATTTCAGAGAGACTAATCGAAAAGTGAACAGCTGCTGGATACTATTCAGTGGAATACAAAGGGGAAATTAAAGGAACGTTCCAGCGAAAAAGAAGCTCAATTTAAATTACAATGAATGAGACAGAGAGCTGTCGGTATACAATTCTACCTGAAATTGAAAAGGAGGTACACGGGTATAGAGAAAAGATCGCCCATCCCTGAGCCAAAATATTGTCGTGATTAAAGAATTTCGCGGGTTTAAAAATCTAGCTGTCTAAATTGGACGTCGCTTGATGATGTCTGGTTGCGAACAGAACGAAGATTTGGCAGAATAGGAGACACAGCAGGGCACCAAAAACATTCTACACGACAGTAGCAGAGCGGAACATCGCTTCTAACTCTCAGAATTATCTATCTCTCCATCGTTGGCCGTTAGGTATGTTTTTCTCGTTTTCTTAGACTTACTTAACTAACGCTTCTTTAAACCGTGACACTACTATTATTGTATAATTAATCAGACACTGGCATAATCAATTTCGTTATGCGTCAAGCTCATACTGTACAATTCCTTAACAAAATCCCTTCCTTATGCTTGTATCATACATTAATGTACAGATTGCAAAGAGGCAGCTACGTTTCTCAAAATCTAATAAGATTTGAACGTTCGTAGCTGCGTTTGTTTGCCATATTTATATTACAAGGAGCTTCGACACCAATTACATACAGTACCTAGAAACTACCGAAACTGGATTGACTAAGTAACTAACCCCTAAGTCGTATTCGAATGCTCTTCCATCGAGAGTTTACTGAAGAGTAAGTACCATTTCCATAATTCATACGATACTTTCTAATTTCCCCTGTTTTTCTACCTGCCTTCTGCAATACAGCAATACACGATGGAAGCTCTCAAACTCGTACAATCAATTTCAATAGCATTGGGCTTGTATAGAAGCGAGATTAAATGCCAACGTCCGATTTGATGCAGACCAAAGGGTCAACGAAGGGAAGTCATCGATGTTCCGCCAAACTATACCTGTCCCTCTATTTGCGTGTACAGATAATGTGTGTCTGTATGTACGTATACGTATATGTACCGGCTGTATCTAATCGCTAATTAATGATCAACCGGTTCGCGGAGACAAGTCGTTTTCATCATGTTTTAAGTGCACGTTGCGGCTCGTAATGACACAATTAATCGATCGCAGGTGAGTTAGCGTTAAGTAAGAACGTTACAACACAGATATATAGTGTATGTTATGTTGACTAGCGGGCTTCATAACGTGACCTTGGTCTTGTTCCTCCTGAACGTGAACAGCATCTTCCGGCGTCGTTTTTTCGACTCGTCGTTGTCCGTGGTCGAGTTCGAGTCCGTCGATAACGTTTCGTCGTCCACCGTTGACTGTTGTTGCGGCTCCTTCAACGCTTTCCTGCTACTGCTCGATATGCTCGTCGTTGTCGTGGAGTTGATGCTGGTGGTACTCGCGGTCGTCGCGAACGTTGGACCAATTTTTTGCTGCCCTGATCGATCTTGGCTCGACGAATCCAACGAATTCTCTGAATAAGACGACTTCGACAGGAATGGTGTGGTAGTCTTGTTCTCGACGGCGAGAGGCATGCTCGTGTCTTGACTGTGGGAACGCGTGATGTTGGACTTCTCTTTGCTGGATGCTCTGACGGGCTCGACGGGCCCATCGCCGACGGTGAAATGTACAACGTTACTCTCTGGTGGTGTATCCTTCCCGGTTTCACTGCTGGACGAGTCTGGAGGAACCGACGACTCCTTCCACATTAGGCTGTCTAGTGTACCTGTAGATTAAGATTGAACTTTGTTATGCTTTGTATGTATCTGCGGTGGCTTTTCATTTTATGATAGCCTTTTATTTCTGCAAGGGATTTTAGTACGAGTGATTGATACATTAGAATCACAGATTCTTGAAGATTATAAAAATTTGTTTAAAAATATGTAAGGTTTTAGGAATCTATTTGCTCGGTATTGGAATTGAGTTCATCAAAGTTGATGGAGAATGGATGGGCTAACCTGAAAGTGTATTTGAATCTTTAGTAAAACTGATTGGAAATTGGAATAGAACTAATTGTTATATGTATGAATAGATTAACGTTAATGTAGGTCAGGAACCAAAGAAACTGAGATTTTCTTGGAAAAATGTATTCCAATATCAGTTTCTTTGGTGCCTGTGGGATATTGATTTACTGATACCATTGGTATTTCGATGAAGATATATTGAAATAACCGTAGATACTATTTTTATTCGGTCAATTGTAATTTTCATGCACTAATTAGTTAGAACTGCTTTCGACAAACAGTGTCAGAGGTCAGTTCCATGCAGAATCCAGTTTGTGGAAGGAAGAAGAGAAACAAACAACACAATGGATGATACTCTTTTATATTCCACAGTAAATAATATAAATTTTGTCGCGATGCTTTACTGTCTCGCAAACATTAGTAGAATAACGAAGAAATCGTTATTTAAAAAGCGCAATGCATGAAAATTCACGATCTATGCGATAAAACTTATGTTTGTTCCTAAGAAGACTCTTCAAATTCGTGTCACATCAATTCTGAGAAAACTTTACATGCTCCTCAGATGCCATACTTTACCAGAGAACGCAGCTTGGTCCCTTGTTCTAGCGAAAACAAAACACACAAAATCCTTCATAAATTTTTTTTTACAGACAATCAAACATTTTATGAGTTTCTTGTTGAAAATTCTATTTTCATAGTGTTCCATATAAAAACGACGAAGTCAGAAGAATACAATAAATAGAGAAAAACGTCAATTCTTTATTGCTTCAACTGGGAAAGATATCTTTGTGTTCCTGTTTAAAGAAAATATTCTCTAATGACTTCTCTAGACTCGGTTATTTTAACAGCAATAATTCATAAATCTCATTGGTACATTTTTGGCGCATTTCAATAGGTATGTATAGCATTTAAGACTTACAAACTACTAAGGAGTTAACATACTAAAGCGTCTAACTTGAAACTTCGGTTTGCAGGTAACAAAGACAATCATATACAGACTGTTGTACAGATTGCAGTACAGCGTATCATTGTGCCAAATATGTAATTTTAATTCAAGTGAGTCACTCGTGAGTCGTACAATGTTAACTAGATTATTTGAAAGACAAAATAGACAAAAATAGAAAGACAAGATAGGAACTTGAAACATTCATAGAAACACGGCAAAATTTATACGAGTCCAGGAACGGATCGTTTAATTTCAGGAACTAGCGTAGTTAACGTCGTTCGGCAAGAAGATTGAAATTAAAATTACATACTCGGTTAAGTAATTGGTCATCTTGAAACGTCTCATCGCAACTTAGATCATACAAACGAGGCTTGTACACGTCGGTTTCTCGCAAGTTGCTTGATTTATTAATTACGACCTTTGAATCGCACACAATAAAATGTCGAGAGGGAGACATAACGTATGCATTGCAACAATCAGACAAACAATGTACAGATCCTCCGCTTCTCGTCTCTTAATGTACAATAATGCACACGTTTGCCTATGTGCATTATATGCGGATACATATACGTATATAACTCAATGCCGTTGATATGCTCGAGTTTATAATAGAAGGAAGAAAAGAGCCGTTTCGATTGTCACGTCTTTCGCATGAAATCAAACCGATTCGAGAATATATTTATTACGCGTCGTGGTGTAAATACGTGTATTGCACCTACGAGTTAAGTCCTCGGACGTATATAATCGCATCTAATTTTAATTGATTCTAATCTTAACCATGACGCGGATCTCCCAGGAAATAAAATTTATTTCTTGGCATCATATTAGGAACCAGGAATCCTCGATCATTCGAGCTTTTCCTAGTCCCTAGTCGCAGCCAAAGGTTTCCACGCTTAAGGCCACACTACTCCCACCAATTGATATAACACGATGATCTCTGCGTTTATTCTTCAACTATTTACCTCTTTAATCTCTAAAGAGGTTCCAAGATACCAATACTAGTAACATACACCCAAACAATTATCCAACTCTTAAAAAATACATTGTAACATACAATTACGCAATTACCCAAAATTTTAGAGAATGTTTACTCCAAGATTTCGGATAATTGATTGCTTAATCATTAAGCGTGCTCCACAAAAAGATCTGAGGACTCATAGGTACTACAGTTTCAGGTATAATTATAGTTCAGAAGTTGATGGAAGTTCATTTTTTGCTACAAGAAATATCTGTATAACGGACAGTCGAGTATCAAGAAAACAATTTTGCTCTTTCTTAGATCTTAAAGAGCTGAACAGAAACGAGAAATCGGACGAAGGAAGTAGCGACGCCACCTCGTGGTAAAGTGATCTTGAACGACCGAAATCTTCCGCTCGGATTATAGTACAGCATAGATATGATGTATTTAATCGTCGGTTATAGCTTCAGCTAGCGAGCGATAATCGCGACGGGAAAAAAATTTGAAATTGCACACGACACGTAAGAAAATGGCACTTCCAGCGATGTAAACACGATCGTCGAATTCAGATAGGATGATGTGCTAGCTTCTAATTCGAACTATTAATACGAAGATTGTTGTGCAACGCATTACTGCGGGACCTGGCAAAATTGAAACGTGCTCTTGGCGAAATAAGAAAACGCATCGACCATCGGTCGATTCTCATGAAATAACCGGGAAATCGTAAATGAAAAATTTCTACTTTGGTTTAACGTTTTAATAGGATTAAGCGATATATTATATTTTCGTATAGTAATATAATAGGTGATCGATCATCGAAACTTATTAAATAAAGTGATAATTAGATAGTTATCACGCTTGGCACTTGGTCGTCTTCGATATATTGCTACTAGATACGAAGGAACGAACTAGAAGGCTTATTATACTTGATGCAGCTTGGATCGTTAGACTGCGGATATATACACACGTATAGGAAATTTAAAGCTGCGAGAATATACATAACATATGGAAATATACAAAACATATATTTGGAGTACTCGTTATGATATTTAGTAGGTGATTAGAATTTAAATGAGATATTCGATACGACTTGTTAATTTTGTTCATAAATACATTCCCAGTCCAACGATCGTATGCCTTGGATAGACGAAGAATCGAAGTCGTAGTTGCGACACAAATTAACCTTTGCAAAATGGCCATTAAGCGAATTAATCATTGCTGTCATTGAGTAGATGTTCCCTAGTTTTTCAAGGAAGAAACTTACATATTACACAGAATAGCGTCTCAAGAAACGTATAAAACTTTTTCCTGAATTTTTTCAAAGTAAATTAATATTTATTTTCTGACCTCTTCGATTTTCTTCATGGCACAGATTTTCATTTCCTTTATACTTAAATAAAAATTTCTTACGAGAAAAGAAAAAACTAAAGTTTGTATTTTGTATGTGGAAGAAAAATGACATTATTCGTAAAAATATCACATGCTTCTGATGTTTTCACATACACATCTTTGTAAAGATTCTGGCCTTGTTCGTTCATTCGACACATCATGAAAATTTTTGTACAAAAATATGTCATGTTCTTTCATCAAATTGTTATCCTAACGTTTCATAATCTGTACGAGCAGGTAGTTGTAAAAAAACAACTCCATATAATTGTACTGACAATACACTGTTCTTTGAATTATACTATAATATAATGTGTGTATGTGAGAATATGTGAGTGTATGTTCGCGTGTGTGTGCGCGTGTGTGTGTCTGTAAACTTACGCGTTAACAATAAGTTAAGAAACTTGTCATTGTTTAAATAATTAACACGCCGTTATAACTTGACAAATCTCGATTAGGAAAGGGGAACATTCCAATTTTCAATCCTCCCTTTTCCTGCACACAAATCCTTTCATTAAAAATTTTTATCAGATTTCACTGAAAGATCTGCTGATGCTCTTTTAACGCTACTTGCATTGTCACATGTCAGAGATAATCAAATTTCGTTCGTAAGCATTTTTTTGGTACAATGTACTTTTAATTACGAACATATTATTCATGTCACACATTACTTGATAAAATATATAAATAAATAATTTTTTACATTGATATGTAACTACTCGATAAATAACAATAACAATTTTTTCAACAACTATGACTTTTTTAAACTTTAAGTAAGTCTATACAATGTGCAGGATCAATAATATACATAAAAACGTGTTAGAAAGGTTTGATTATGTTGCTTCTTTAATCTTTTTTGGAACCATTAAGTATAGTTTCTTCCACCCCTAGAATCAAATGATAACACAACATAAACAAACAATAATCTAAGAGAAACAAAGAATATCAAGAAATATTGTATCTTATCACAAGAAGAGCAGCTAAAATTGTTAATTAAATAATTCAAACATATAAAAATATATATACATGTGTACTTTCTTTGAACAAAGTTTTATAAAATCGGGAATTAGTTTGAAAAAAGCACAAAAAATGATATAAGCAATAATAAACAATTTGAGCAAATTTTTCAACAAAAACAACGAGACAACAACATTTATAGCATGATTTAAACAACACTTTATGTAAAAGACACAAGACAATAACGTAATCAAACTTCACAATGTACAAAAATATATTTAAAAGAAAATGACCATAAAAAAAAAGTCGCTAATGTTTTCAATGTTTTAATGTAAAGCTTTTTTTAAACATAAATCTTTTATAAGATTTTTGTATTTTTCAAATATTTTCTAACATTTGTAGAAACATGACATTAGAACATCTTCGTAATGTGTGACATTAGCCATCTGCTTTCCTAGAACCAGTAACATCTTTCATAGAAATCATAGATGCATACGTTCGTATTTGCAAAAACTACTTTTTTGTATCAAAATGAATCTTAAGGCATCGCGTGAATTTTTTAAATTTATATTTTAGTAAAAATTTGATTTCAAAATCTTTGATAAGAAATTCTTACGAAGAATGACTTATCCGTAATTTCATTACAAACTTCTTAAACAGTTAGCAAAGTACATATCGTAATTTAGTTTTCACGAGTACCTACGCTGGAAACCCGAAGGTTTGATTAAGAGAAATTAATGTCACAAAAAGAACCCAAACTACTACTATTAGGACGCCAAAAGGTTAGTAAATTATTGATCTCGAAGATATATCTACGTGCGTAAAAAAGAGAGAATAGAAGATATTTAGATATTGTAAGTATCATATCAAAGTTACAATAGTATTTACAAATTGAGCATTGTTACTATCAATCTAAATGCTCGTGGAAGTCCGTTTCCAGCTTACCTGCGGCACCACATGTTGAAGGCGAGTAAACTGAACTTGCTTCGTCGTCTAAGTCATCTTGGCTACTGAGTCGACCTATAAACATGAATCGCACGCATGATAAATTATTCGCGTTAATTTATCGTATCCAAATTTTTAAAATTGAAACTTTATACGAATATCAATCATCAATTAAACCAAGATTCACAAATAAAATACAAAAATCATTTTTAAATTATTAAATACTTAAAAGGTCTAAGCACTAATCACTAAACAATTTTGTATCGTCATAAATGTAAATACCTCTGAGTCCAAGACCTCGACCGTTAGGAGTTCCTCTGTATAGAACAGTTTCTAAATAACTTAGACCATTATTATTTATTATATTAAAGCCACATAACAGCTCAATTTGCTTCCAACGATGTACTCTTTCTTGCAATTCTGCGGTGACTTCGTTTAGAGCAGTTCTTGCCTCAACTATACTTTTGTCAACTTCATCAATCGATTTTCCATGAGTTGAAACAAACGCTCCTACTAAACTCGATCGTTTTTTTCGCAGTTTCTCGCACTAGAAATAACATTACGTACAATTAAATAATAAATAATGAAATTGTAATGATATACAAAAGTAATTTAATTGAGAAAAAATGTATCACTTACTGCTTCTCGTGCTTGTTGCAACTGTTTCTCTGCAGATATCTTTTTCTTGGTATATGCTTTATTTTCAATTTCGTGAGTTAATTGTAACCAATGTTGCAATCCAGAAGGAGGAGACCAACATCTGTCTTCGAGTTCGCCCTCTGCACGTTGCAATTCAACTTTTAACATCTGTAAAGTCCAAATTAATTACACTTTGAAGGAACCTAATCCTTAAATTTTAAATGTAAAAATTTATGGAATATTTACTTCGATTTCTGCCTTTAATTGAGAAACTTCGAGATCGGAGTAAGAAGCGTGCAATCCCACACTTTCGTCTTGTAAACGTTTCTCTAAGTTTTGTTTCTCAGTAGTTACACTTTCTTGTTCCATTCGTGCCCTCTCCAATTCTTTCTGTAAATCGTAAAACATAACATTAACGAAGATTTAATGCGTTGCTAAGACTTTAAGAACAGTAAAACATACTTGCAAGTCCTCCAATGCCAATTCTGCTTTATGTAAACTCTCCATATCCTTCATCATTCTGTGGAGATGTTTCTTTGAGTCTTGCCTCTGCCGATATGCATACCAACATCCTATACACACTCCGAAAAACAATGTTATTAATACCGTATCTTTGATGCCATGTCCAGTATCTATAACAAAATATTAAATAATTATGCTAAACCATTCAAAAACTTTTAACAGAAAAATGATCTTTTAATAATTGTTTACCCTTTGGTGGCCCAAAAAGAACTACATCCATAGCTTTTAAGGCAATTTTTTGTTTATGAATGGGATCCTTGATGCCTAACACATTACTTAGGTATTGCATATTGTTCACAGCCAATCTATACATAAAGTAATAAATATTTTGTTATTAAAACAATTGTTACAGTATCAAGATGATTTACTGTTTAAAGAAAGTGACCTTGGAAGTGTAGCACCAGTTACACGGTGTTGTATAAAAGTAGGAACATATTGTGGAAGATCTACACTAGAAGCTAACCATTCTGATGTTTGTTCTATAGTCCAATTATGAACCTATAAAGAAATTATTAATATAGTAAGATATCAAAAAAATAAAAGTTATTTAAAGAAACAATTATATTTTAGACAATACCTCTGACCTTAGCCAGGCTTCCCAAAGTTCTCGAACACTAATATGCATATCATCATTATGATGGAAAGCCCTCTGTCTCCTTTCATACCCAGCTTCATATTGTAACTCTTCTCTTAAAAACTAAAAGGAATACAAATTGCTTTTTATATCTCATAATGTAGAAGGAATTATAAGTAAAAATTTATTTACATCATCTGACTCTGTAAGATCCACATTTCCATTGGCATCATCGTCTAGTTGACTGTGGAGTGATTTGATAGCTTCTAAACCTAGTCGATCATGAGAAGCCAGTGTAAGACAAGCTAGGTCATCGTTACAAGTATCGGAACCTGTAATAAATTAAACAGCCTACGTTTGATTGTATGTGTTTATGATTACATGTAGTTTGTTTACAAATGCCTCTTTTCTTTAGGGCTATGATTATCCTGTTAACCACGTGTAAGAAGCTTTTTGTCCAATTATTATTAATGTAGAAATGTCAATTAGAAAGAAGTATCTTGTTAATAGACATAGAATAAGTTTACAATAACAGTTCGTTACTATTGAGTCAAGACTTGTCTTTGAATGATTAGATCATTTGTGAAATTTATCATCTGCAATATGAGCTTTTATCATAAACACATTTGTATCTCTTTTACAACAAAATCATCAAATTAAAGAAGAAGGCCTATTTTTTTAAGTAAGCTTTGTAAATGTAAATACCTTTAAATAAAATGATATAGCAGACAAAACTTATTTTCTTTTTTTTTTTTTTTCTAAAATTAAATATTAGTCATGCATATACATGCTGCCTATTTACACATACATACAAAAGATTAAAACAAAATATTAATGAAACAAAACAATAAATAATGGTATAAACTAATGGTTTAATTTCAAAGCAATTTGGAGTATCTTATAACTAATCATTAATTAACCCTCCAATTATCATAGCTCAGATTATAATGCAATATGAGAAATTTTTAATTTCTATCTTCATTAATAAACAATAACAGAAGAAAAAGAAGAAGAACAAACATATTTCTTAAAAATGTATTTTGAAATACATGTAAAAATTACTTTTGATTTCATAATAAAAAAAATGGACATGATAATACAAATAGCAGTATATTACATCAGTATATAATTTCAAATACATATAAAAACTCAAATATCAGAAAAATATTACTAAACACTACATGGACCATATATAAAATGTAAACTGTACACATAATTCTTCTTGACATTATAAAGACAAGACTATGCAAGAAAGCAATTATACAACTAACAATATTATGATTGAACATATTAAAATAAATATTAAACTTGTCACCAGAATACAACAGGAACTATAAGCTGTCAATGCATTTACAGTGGCTCATAAAATATCTTGTAGCTTCTATATATATTTTCAGATTTATTTCAAACTTTAGCAGTATAATTATGATAGTCTGACCACATTGCTAATGAAATCTTTAAGAGTTTCAGTATAATAGCATATCTAATATATTCATAAAAAATTTCCACAAATATTTGAATACTTTTGTGAGCTACTATAAGTTACAGAATAAATGAAGGATATTTTTCATGGGCTATGCATATTGGAGGGTTCAGACAACAAGAAAAAAACAGATAGCGGATTTTTATGGACGTAATTAAAGAAATAAAAGTTAAATAGGGATTTATATTACCCGTTAAAAATTATAACGAATATTTCACTCTAGGTATATCATACATTTTTGTGTATTACACACATTATGTGCATTTTTACATTTTCAAGTTTTTCGTGAATGTATAAAAATCCGCAGTCTGGTTTAAATAATAGAAATAAAACTTACCAGCTTCGTGAGCAACGGCTTGCGCTAATCCATCGGTAAGTGTCGCGGAGAATGCCGTAACTTTGGAATGTGAACCTCCAGTTGAACCAGATTGAAAGTTCGAGCTCGTGTCGAGTGCCCCGCCGCTGGCATCTACCGTGTTCCAACACCAATACGACAAATGCAGTCCAAACAGTACAATCACATTGGTTATCACGGATGATCGCATTTTAAGGTTAGATACACCTTGTCACTGACACCTCGCGCCACCCTTGCGCAGTTGCTACGAGTCAAATTAAAAATCGTGTAGCTTTTGGCTCGTTGTCACCTTTGACGTAGACCCGCAATAGTGAATATAACCAAGGTTACAGTTATCAAAACCGGGATAGCAATGGAATTTGTCGAGTGCATAACACGCGTGACCGATTATGATGTTACAGCGGGCTTAGTAACTGAGTGATACACTGTCGTTATTTGCCCCATCAAGGCGTCGGTCAACGTCCGAGATCTCTTTAAAATAAATCAATTGATTTATTAATTAAGTACACTACGCTCCTCTGCTCTGTGCCTCGGGTTTTCCTATCAAGGCCACCGTCCACGAACAACATCATGGAAAATCGTTCATTTAGATTGGACACAGCAATGCACTTTTCTGCACGCAAAAAACTGAAAAATTCAATTGGTCCCGTGTGCGGTTATTCGCGTGATTTTATTGGTTAGACGTTGCACTTATGTTACGAATTATTCCCAGCGCCAGCGCAGCGCGAAAATCATTTGTAAAATGTCTTTGACCAAAACGAGATGATTTATATGATATTAGCGATATTAATGGGCGTTTCAATCTCGATTTCGAATATTTTCGTAGCGATTCGATATTTTTTTAATACTGTCGAAATTCGAATTTCTTCGAATAAATGATTTGATATTTCAAATACTTGAATTTTGATAAGTCTTGTGAATCTCGATAGGATTCGTAATCTTCATAAAAGAATGAATATCTTATATGTCATACTTTATATCTTATATGTTATATATTATATATTTTATATATATTATGTTTTAGATCTTAAATGACTGTCAAGTTTTTTAAAAGTTTTAAGTACCGAGTCATGTCTAAAGCAATTCAAATTTTTCACTACATGCAAATATGTAAGTACTTACATATTGTCAATACATGACAAGACAAATTTTTCGAAGTTCTCCCGACACGAGTTGATTAATTATTTGAATTAAATATAATTCTTTCGGTGATTTTACTATATATATCTTTATAACAATGTAGTTAAATATTTCTTAATTTTTAAATGTTAAGTGCAGTAGATTTAAATATCCAATTTGCTCGAAAACTCGCTTAGAATTGTGTAGTTTGGAAGCAAGCACAGTATGTGCATCTATCGTGTTTGTTGAGCTAAATATCGTTAGATTTTCATAATTACGTAATTTTTGCAATTACATTGCCTTTATGTTTACAGAAAAATTAAATCCTTCTTAATCGCATTAATCAGCGTCGGAAAAGCTCGTGTTTACGTTCGAGCGTAAGTACGAAGATAATTACGTTTTAACGTGATTTAAACACATTAATAAATCACCATTACGTTTGTTTCTCGATAGCCTAATTATGTTAAAATACAGTTTTTATAGGATTTCTCGACGGAATTATGTTATTAACATCATAAATCGAAACGAAAATATTTTCGTCCGTAAATCTACTTCAATTTACCGATGTGCTACCTGTTCTAATGAGTTGTAAAATTCGTACTATCTAAGCGCCTCGAAACTGGTTAAGGTTGTTACCCAAAATTTGTCTCGTGAGAACGTTAAAATGGAAAATAACGCGAAAAATGAAGATTGTGAAATTCAGGGGATTAATACAGTGAGCAAGAAAGAAGACAGTTCATCCCAAACTGTACAAAATTCTTCAGACGCAAAAGTTCCCGTGGATTCTAAGAATACTCAAGTTCGTGTCGTCCGAGGAACAAAAAAGATAAAATTAGACGTTGGTGATGGTAATAACTTGGAAAAAAAAGGTTTGTATTTGTATAATCAATTGATGATATAAATATAGTAATCGAAAGAAATATTAACAACTGTATAACTTCTTAATTAAACTCCAATATGTTATATAGTTACAAAGATTTGTTTGTAATTTAATAGATTCCAAGGATGAAGAAAACAATACAGAGGTGAAAGTAAAATCTTTGAAAAGATCTTGCGAATTATGGTCCATGGAGGATAAAAATACCTTTTTCAAAGCTTTAAACGAGTATGGAAAAGACTTTGATGCTTTACAAAGTTATTTCTTGAGTCAGGGAAAGAAAAAAGGTTTACCAGATGTTGTGATAAAAAATAAGGAACAGATTAGGCATTTTTATTACAGAACTTGGCTAAAAATATCGAAGCACCTAAAATTTTCAGAAGGTAATTGTTTAATGTATTTTTACACTTTAGTTTTTATTTTAATAATATAATTGTTTTGTTGTACAGATGTAAAAAAAACTTCGCAAGAATTGTATGGATTAATTAATTATGGTGAACTTAGAAGGAAGTTACCACGAATATATGAAAAGGTACAGTTGAAATTAAATGAGTTGGTTTATTGGGGTTCAACACAAGTCAGACTTAGAGGAAAAACTATGAGAATTAAAACACCTATATGTAGAGCACTGAGAAAACTGAATCAACTAGAAGGTATACTTAATTAATAAAATGTAAAATATAGTTCATGGAATTTAATAATATTTCATATAACAATTATAATATTTCTATAGATTGGCAAGAAGAAATTAAACTTCCCCCTAGGATAACAATAGAATTAAGGCCCCGTAATAATATGGCATGGTGGCAAGTGCAAGCATCTTCGATGAATCCAAGAGTACGCACTCTATTACCTATACAAAGACGTTTGTCTAGTTTATTAATATTTCTGCAACAAAGATGGAGACCTGCAAAGTATAACACAGTATCCTTACTTCAAAATAGATTACCAATATTAATGTATCTTGTTTTGTATCGAATAAGAAAAAGAGTATTGAGAAAATTCCTATACATTTAATGTAGTTCCCCAATTTAGAAAATGCAGTTGCTAATGAAATGAAAGATAATCGGTTATTACGAGTAGCACCACCTGAAGGGAGCAAAATTGCTTTGCCAATGGTGAACCTTGGAGAGTATCTAACCAGCAACAGTGTCAGTTTAAATTCTTATGAAAAACGTCTAGGATTGAAAAGTTCCAGAATGGACCTATTAGGCTCAGAACAATACATAAAAGGAGTTGGAAAGAAAGGAATTAAGAAAAACAAAGTAGACAAAAAATGCATGAGCCGTACAGAGGATAACTGTACCATGCCAGACAATAATAGTGATATAGATGCAATAGAATCTAGCAGTAATGTTGCAGAAAGGCCGTCGACTGTTAGTAACGCCGAAAAAGCTAATCCAGAGCAAAAAACAGAATTTAACAGATTTCCGGGAAGGGAAACTATTGAAAGAATTCGGAAGGGATGGAACATCGAGGAAGCAAACACCATTACTGTGGGGGACCTCTTTTTGATGGTACACGTGTTAACTTTTATCCGAGTTAGCTTTAAATAAAAGTTGAATACTCCGAGTTGTCCTACATTTTTTAAATTTTTCAGTTTGGTCGCGAATCGAAAGTTACGCTGGAATATTGGTGGGACTGGAATCATCGGGAACAACACGTTGGAGAGTCTACATCAACAACTTTACGCGATGATAATTTGTGTCTTACCTTGCAAAAGCTATTATCTATAGCAAAACATAGTTATGGCACGAGTAAAGTATATGATAATACTTCTGGAAGTAATGAAACTGTGATTTCCTCTCGAATACTTTCGACGAAAGCATCGACCTTTAAAAGACCTTTAATTCCACAAACTTATCAAAAGATTGGAACACCAGATGCTTTCAAAACGCAGTTAGATGTTCGTTATCGTTTCAAATTCAATATTTCTTTAAGGAATTCAAAAACATTTATTATAAAAATGTGATTTTGTTTTTTTAAATGCAGAAGTTTACAACACGTTTCAGTAAACGAGGTAGAACCGTGCGGCAAAAAAGTCTTATTGTACAAAGAGTATTGCCAATAATATCTACTACAAGCAATGCACCAGAAGACGTAACTTCTAATAATCAAGAAGCAAATAAAATAAATGACCCTCCTATAAATAATGATGATCAACAAAATGATAAATCGCCATCCATAATTATAAATGTAACACAGGAAAAAAATTTTTTGGATGAACTTGAAGCGGCAAGAGTTCCGAAACCTACGAATTCCATTATAACAAGCGCAACGCAAATACTTAAAGAGGGAGAACATCAATGGTTGAATAGTGAGGTAAATTTCTAAGGTTGATTTCTAGAATTTTAAGCAAGAAATATTTTTTCTTTTACTAATATTGAAATTAAATTACAGGTAGCAGATTTTTCATTAAGTAGTTTCCTAGGTCAATTAGAGTCTCCCATGAAAATCTCACAGAGAATTCAAAATGAAAATAATATAGAAGATAGTCGGCCATCGTCAGATGTAAGTATATATAATAAAATTTAAAAAAGATTGATCTATTAATATTTTAATCTATATTAAGAATGTATTACAGGTCGTTTCACATATGCAATGCTTGATGGGGGAGAGTAGTGTTGATTATATGGCGAAATTTGCAAACCTTGCATCGCAGATAGCATCTGACGATAACAAAAAATAAAAGTATAAATAATCGACTAGTTTTGTACTAATTTTCATATGAGCAACTATCTAAAATTATGTAAATGTGATGATACATGGGAGCATGTAATGATATTTAGACTGATTAATTTATCTCTTTGATATTGGCTTTTACAGTCGACTGTTATAATAATACTAATACTAATAATAATGATAACGAAAATAATAATATATGGAAAATAAAGTAATTCATATTCATATACAAACTTCCTGTATGATTTCACTTTTCTATGATTAGCAATTTATAAAGTATGTATTATATATATATTATTTAACACTTTGTTCAGCATAAAATGCTTAGGCATATCTATTCTGAATATTCATTAATTTTTTATTGTATTTCTTTCTATGATACAGAATGCAAAATTAATTTATATAGCAAGTTCAAGTTCTTAATCTTGCATCAATAATTCATGAATGTTCATAAATATTTCATCCTACGTTTATGCTAAAGGTTTATTGAAAACTGCACAAATGCGGGAGGAATACGTTTATAGGTGATATTTAGTATCCTTATTTAACCCACAAAGATGACGCGGCATCTGTTTATGGAATCATTTAGGCTAGTTCTCGTGTATGACTATCACTATTGCGTTGCAATCTCATGTAACTAATTAAGTATGTTGAAAGAAAAAAACAAATCCCCGTTTATAACTTCCTTAACTGAAAGAAGTAACAAAATCCAGGTATATATAAACTCCTCCTATTTTTCTCGTATCATAAGTTCCACTAATTACGCATATATAGAATGTGAGAAAGATGAATATGAGTACTTACATACTATTGGAATTTGTTTAACACCGCCTATTATTACGAACGGACAGCGTTAACCTTATACAGATTTTCCATTATTAGAAGTACTTTGAAATACTTAAAAATTTTTTAATATAAATTTCTTTAACGAAAACAATATCCGCGAGTACTTACAACTTGCATTACAGAACTGTGATCAAACACTGTCTAAGCTTATGACTTAACAATGGAAAAAGAATCTTTATCTGATGATGATGTAGGAAATAACGGTCATTATAATACTACTACAATCATTGTGATATTCTGAAATATGTACGAAAACGCTCATCAGCTGTATATTTGAATACCAAAATTTTAATTAAAGATTAAAGAGAAAGAATAGAGTATAGATCTATTATGATCGTTTATTAAAGCAATTTTCAATTAAATTGAGCATGCTTGAAAATATTGCAAATACGCGCCTAGGAAATGATGGGAACGATAATGAGCCGAACACCCCAAGGAGACACATATTCTTGGAAACGAAGCCTATAGTGTTTTCGACGGCGTATTGCGAAACAGACATTGTGAATGATTCATAGTGCCCGCGTCCACGTGATCTTATGCGCACGCACCTATCAAGTATTTGTTATTTGCAGATGTGATTTTCCCTGGACGTAAGCACCTTCTTTGAGTGAACTGAAGTGGTTTCACTCATCTCATCGATCACAGAAGAATAAATCGTTAACTATCTATGCTTTCTTTCCAGAAAAAAATGTAACATACAATTACACATAAAAATTCGCACATAAATAATATTTGTTATCTTTTCCTTTAAAGTCATAAACATAATTATATGAATGATTGGTATTGATAAACTTTAATTTTAAAAACGAGTTTAACCCAACTGAATTTCCTATTGGTTTTTCTTTTATCTTTTTTTTGTCGTACAACGTACGACAACATACGTAATATTTTTTATTTTGGAACTTGCACGTAGTCAATGACGTTAGTTAAGTACTTTTGATTTTTATCGACGTTAAAAAATTATGAACCTGTTTGACAGTCCGGAATGACCTTTCCCGTTTCAAAACACATTCAATTACGCAGAAGTACGAGTTATTACGCTCTACAGATTAAAAAGTTTACTATAAGACGCGAAAAAAAGAAAGAGAAACGATCATGTTTGGCTTTCAATCTTCTTTGTCCTTTTCATTGCGTGTATTTATGTCTATTGAATTACTGTAATTGTCATTGATATATGTTTTGTTTACTAAAAGTAGCATCTGTTTAAGCCAATTTGCATTTTCATATCAAGTACAGATAATTATAAATATACATATTCAACATCATTTATATTCAAAGTCGAATAATGCATAAAGTTCATGTGTTTTCTTATAAAATTTCTTTTCGTGACAAAAACTTTGGAAAATGTTTTTATTCGCAATGATTGATCATATTGAGACGTTTGTACTTTTGTATGTTTGTTTTGTATGTTAAGTTCGTAATTCAGAATAGGTATAATATATCGATATACATAAATATATTATTTAACGTTGGACTGTTTGGTGAATTTTTCGTATAATGATAACAAAAATTTTATATTTACAGGGCAGTAAGTATTTTCATTGAATTTGATATCTTAATACCTTCAAAAGATATTAATTTAACAGGACGTGAACTTTCGATAAGTGTTCACATATCGATGCTATTAAATATTTCCCAGTTGTGATCGTATGTATTGTACGTGACTTGAAATTTGCATACAACTATTATATTCAAACAAGTAGATTATTTCTTTTTCGACATCCAATCATTTCTGATCCTAATATTCCGATAAATGGATGGACGACAGAATTTTTGCGTTTGCCGGTTAAGGATAACCATTAACGTCTAATATAATCATTTATAATTTCATTTTGTGATTTTATATAAACGCGGTGCGATGCATTACGATCTTCAATGAATCCTGCGCAAAAGCTAATCGCATAGAATTTCTACATATTTAATGAGATTGCATCAAAGTATAAAAACAACAATCAATTTTATTTTAATAAATAATCTTACTCTTAAAAGACTTCGTTCAGACTATTTCAATGACGTCTAATACAATCTCATTCGACAATAAACGAAGGGGCAAAAGAAGGAGAGATGCCCAAAATATTGACCATTTATATCAATACAATATTGCAACAGATGTAAATTTGAAATATCTGAAAATCTTCCGTTTATAAAGAAATGATTATTTATGTTATCTTTACGTGTCATGGACTTCTTCGTAATATAATAATTAAAAAATAGTTGTAAAATTTTTAAATATCCAAGCTTTGTAAGTGACCTTACATCACATTTCTAAAAATAACAAAGATTATCAAAGGATTATTGGGACACCTTATAGGTCTTCCTGATGTTAATCAACATCTATCTGGATAGTGGAACAAACCGAGATACACAAAAACTGTAACCTAGTAAATGTGATCAGGGATGCTTTAACCTGGACAACCAACGAAACGACCATTTCTTATATTTCAGCAACAACTGCGAAGTAAGTATGTACGTGTGTAGTATAAGTATATACCAACATCGACAAGATCGCAGTTTAACAAAATTATTAGAATTTAAAGAAGGACTTTACCAAGTAATACAAAGGATGGGAATCTCTGAGACCTTAGAAATTATATTCAGGTTTTCCTTAAGAAAATTCCATTTGTTATTCCGATTGAGTCTTTATCACAATTCTTATGATAGGTCAGTGATTCATCTTACGAGTACTATAGGCTATATTCGAGCTAAAAAACAAAGTGACTCGCAATTGGAAGAACAATTTCGGAAGTTACTGGGGAATTTTTCAACTCTTCGGCATAAAAAATGAAAGAACGATTAAAGTAAACCACAGATATGTAATTCTTACATTTTTCGTCTAAATTTATATAATAGACTGATTAAAATACCACAACTTCCTTAATTAACATCAGAACCGAAATAATCTTTGTTCTTTATCATTGTTGCCTTTTTCCTTCTTCGTTTACTTTATTCGTTGATTTTTCAATTTCTCTACAGGAAACAGAATGTTTCGAAAGAGCCGATATAAAATCAAAGCTCGGCGAGGTTTGCGCGATCACAGTTCCTCGAATCAGTTATTAGTAATCCCCAGGAGTTTCACGGATTGCGGTTATGATAAAAAGCGCGTTCTTCCCAGTGTAGAGACGTAATTGAAAGGAAAAGAAAAAAAGAAGGCGCATGAGAGAAAAAAGGAGAGAAAAGTACATCGTAAAATAAAATGAAGTCCATGGTAGTACCGACATGTTTACACTCCGATGTCGAGACATCGTGGCGTACTATAAATAAACGAGTCCATAGGCGCCGCCAATGTGAAAAGCTTTTTCGAATATTGCATTTTGTCTGGACGAATGCGATGGAAACATTATATGTATACAGGGTAGAACGTACGAATTGGACACATTAGTGGATCCATTGAAAATATTTCTGAAATTTATAGTACATGATACATACAAAGTTTAAAAATATAATTTCTGTATTATTGACAATCTATTTACCTCTACTATATGTAAACGTATTCCAACATTCCAGGAAAATTTGGTATACGTGCACATTATTGCAGAGTATCATTTTCTTTTTTTCTCACACTGGTTCTAACTAGTCAATCTATTGAGAATTATGCGACGAACAACTTGTGTCTATTAATAACGCTGTAAGAGAGAAAAAAAATGGAATCTTCGTAGAGATCTTCAAACGCCTCAATGTCACGGGAATACCGACGAAGTCTTGTCGTACAGACGAATTTTTGTTCCTGGTTATTTCGTAACTGTTTCGTACGTTGAATCGTTGCTGATTTGCAATAAATGTTTTTTTTTTTAAAAAAGATACTTCCAGGAAAAAATCGAAGCCCGATAGCGATTTCCATTTTATGGAAATTAGATTAACCGCAAGACTCTGGCTTCGCGCAACAGCATATCGATCGACTGGAAATATTTGAAGACATTAATATAATGATATCTGTAAATACAGCATATAAGTCGCATGCATTTTTATAAAAGATTGGAAAGAGTGAGAATGATTTTATAAGATAGTTAAAGCAGTCGAATTTAAATATTTCATGAAATTAAAATATATTTAAATAAATAGATTAATTATATGCTTCTATAACTTCATATTATTCACTAGAAAAATTTACCTTACTGACCCAAATTAGTATTATTATAAATCATTACATTAAATCATTGAATGAAATTCCATCTATGACAACATATTTATATCCGATAACTCTTTCATGCGTTGTTTAGTTAATGAAAGTATAAAGTATATTTAAGATATTTGTACACAGACATGCACACTTAATTACATTCGATCATTTGTTATCTGTTATTTGTTTTTGCGGAATCATTTTATATACAACCGATTGGACGTACAACCTTTTAACCTTAAAAAAGATTGATATCGTTTGGTTGATTTAGTAATTTGAACTGCGAAAACTCGAATCTTCGCAACACGTGTTTCTACTTGGCGGCAAACAACCTATGTATTTGTTTGGAAAAAACGTATTTTAAACGCCACATATGAATTTTCCATAACATATATTTGTCCAAATATATATTTAAAAAACTCTCTTTTTATATAAACCAGAGGATCTATTTTACATGTCAGAATTTTGAATAGTACACTATAACCCCTTATGATGCAACCCTCTTCTCTTCTACTTTAAGCGAGATATGCATTTTGTGTTTAAACGCTTGAGGTTCTTCTTAAAAATTTTCTTGGTTCGACGAAAGTCTACAAGATATTCCGTTTCTTTTTCTAAACTTTCGCTCTTGCATTATATCGCAAATTGATTCCGCACTATCAAATTAATTCCAAATGATTCTAGTGGTTTAAAAAATACGTAACATTATTATCATTTCTACTTACAATAGCTAAAGAAATTCAATTCGAGCGATTATACTATAAGCGTAACAAAGCATTCTTTACAATTAATTTTTTTTACAAAAATTGGGATGTATCCTGAAATATAACAGGATGATATTTTAAGTGATACATGACATTCTTAAAAAACATGAATAAATTATAGTCCATTTTAAAATATTGTTTATCATAAGAGAGTAGTTGATACAACAATAAAAAATACGGTATATAAGGGCTGAGGAGACCATTATCAAAATTTAGCTTTATTTATTACACGTATGTATCACTTCAAAGGTGCAGAAATAAAATTTGTAAATATAATATTCCTGCTTTGGTTTTTCCTAAGAATGAAAATTTCACAGTTGAGGAAAGATTAAAGAAGATGAATTTTCGGCCAGATTTTCGATGATACGGATACCCCAGTGCACCGTCCGGTCGACCTCGTTGGATCGCAAAATAATGAAGCCACTCGGGGAATAACCGTCGCGTTAGCTATATTTTCGGTTGCGTTTTCGTCTCGAATTCTCCGGATCTCGGCAACCGCCGCCAATGGTGTGTATCCGCAATTATTGCGTCAGCTATCGTGAAGCACGTCGCCGATGATTGGTCAATTCCAAAGAGCGGGAAATCCCCGTTGAAACCTGCTCTTCCGCGCTATCCGTCCCCGTGATACTCCCGCTGACGTCTTTCGCGTCACCACATCGCCTGGCGTCTTCGTCAGAGACATTTCGGCGACCGGCGATCAGTATCGCGTTGCGCGACAACGCCGCGACCTCGTGCTTAGTTTGAAGTATAATTGTTTTCGATCTGTTTTCCAACAGACAGTGATGCGACTTGTTCACGCCGCGCTGTGACATACATTTACCTTCGCGTAAATCGTGACACTTCTCTGTAACGAACATATTGTTACGTTTGTACGACAGTCTTTGCATTTGCTTAGTTGAAGAATCGAATGAACTTAATAATGGATCCGTTCAGTAGTTACGATAGAACCGACTTAGTGGAGGTGAGTTACGATTACCTAAAAAAGTTGTAAAGTTGTTGTTTGGATTATTTGAATTGGTTTTAGTGGATTGTACGGTGTTTTTTGATTATTTTATATGAGTTTTACTTGTTTACCTGTTCTATAATCTTTCTGGAGAAGGAACGCATGTGTGAGCCTTACGTGCTAGAGAGAAAAAGGTTTGTTAGTACTGCACCGCGTGAAGCGCTAGTGTGCTATAATGAACTTTCTAAAAAAGTACTGTGTTTTTCTCGAATTCCAGACTGATATTTGAGTATGAAAACCGGAAAGCTATAAAACGTTTGGGAAAACTATTTCGTTTAATTCATACGTGCATATCGTAAGAAATGCCATTAATGTATTAGACTAAGGTAAAGTAGAATAGAGAGATGAACAATTACAGTGTTAACTTCTAATGATTAATCGAAGATTTTTGTAAATTTAATGTAACGAATAAAAAGAATTAGAAGAAGTTATAAATAGAAAAACTGTTCGAAGTTTTTGACAACTGATTTACGAGGTATCAAACGATGTTTCATTTCTTTCTTTAGATACAATAAAAATTTAAAACATATTTCTATCAAGTTAGTACGAGAGTTTATCGTTCTGTTTGGAAAAGAGTTGAAAGATTGTAAAAATTGCGTTTCTACGAAAAGTGATGATGATCGGCGACGCGATAACTCGAGCGTCTATATCGTACGAGTATTCGCACCTAAGTGCGAAACAAGTGCATTTGTAGATTTAGTGAAATGATTTGTGAGAGCAATAAAATGTTGTCAATTCTACGAAACAGAACAATATTTCTGACAATGCTGTATCAATTGTATTGATACAGAAAATTATTGCGCAAATATTGACACAGATGCTAGTTGGAATTTTTTAATCGAAAAAAAGGCTATATGACTATCTACTGACCGTCGTTGTATCAAATGCTTTTATGGCTAACTATATATGCTGCATTTATACATATTATTAAAAAAAAAAAAGAAAATATGTCAAAAGATATCAGTAGCACTCATTACAGCGTCCAAATAAGTTTACACGGATTAACATGCATCCATACAAAATTTAATAATAACTTAAAGACTAAAAATTAAAATATGATACTTTCTCTATTGAATATTTGGAAATTATGAAGAAAAAACTACTACAAAGAGATGAAACACGACAAAAATAATTATAAAAATATGATACTTGGAACAATAATGTTACATATCAGTTAATTGCGGCTAAGCAACACTTATATGCACACTAATTTACTAATATAAGATATTATTATCATTTACCACATGCTTGACTTTGCATAAAGCGTTCGAAGCCACGTAATACAAAATAAATAACATTTGAAACAACGATTTGCGGTTATTTATTGCAAATTACCGATATCCGTTTTATGTAGATGCTCTGCCCAGAATCGAGACGTAAATACATACATATATGTATATATCTTTGTCGTACGTATAAAAGCCAGTCCAAGGAAACGAGATTGTAGTGATCTCGTTTTTCTCAGTCTCTAGCGATAAAAAGAGACAAGACGGTTGAAGACGCCAACAAGGTCATTAACGTAGAAACCCGATTTCGTTTCGGATTTGTTTGTCATGCGATATGTTCTGTTTGCAGGTGTGCCCTTCATTTCCTAATCTAAATGACGACGATGATCATTTCGTACTGGACATGGACTCATTGGTCACATTGAAAACTAATGCCCTGACCACGCGTAGTTACGAACCTCCCCGAAAAAAGTGTTACTTTGGTAATTCACCTATATTTTCATTTATATTAATAATGATTATATCTATACTTTCAAACGTCACTATTATAATTAGTATTATATTAATTCTATTAATATATCATTAACATTTTATTAATATACATTTTACAATATAAAATATTATTATTATTTATTTATATATCTATATATAGAATCATATAGAACCAGCTATTATGTCGTAATTATATTTTCCAAACAATTTGTTCTAAAAGATAATTTTGTTTTATGATGTTATAAAAGTACGTTTCATTTTATCTTGATATATTTTTCATTTTCGACTTATATCAATTTTTTCAATTCAACAGGTGATGAAAATAATGAAATTGATGGTACTGGTTGGTCTGATAAACCTATTAGAAACTGGTGTCAAGAAGAAACAATAAACTGGTTGATGTCTGCGGCATCTTATATCGGACAACCGTATAGTCTGATACAACATAGTCTTGCGGTACCAGGAAACGAGTTGGTCACCTTTACCAGAGACGATTTTATCAACCATGATCCTATGTACGGAGATCGACTCTATGACCTACTCCACTCTCAGCATATCTCAAATATACGTATGTAATTGTGATTACGCGTGAATGTTGATAACAAAAAATAATAATGTAATAAACTACCATAATATTATTTCGCTGTATCTCATTGATAGTTTTTATTTAAGAATCAGTCGTCATTAGTAGTTAGTAAAAACAAAACTATGTAATTACAGTTCCACCATTTAATACCATCCATCCTCATTCCGAAGACGAATATGCGCGAATTAATTCCAACAGTACATCAGGTAATATAAATCCTTCGAATTTTTTAATACGAAATGATTATCTTTTTTTATAATAAAGTACGTAAATATTGTTTTTATTTTTGTAGATGCAGAATCAGATAATAATAGTATTGATTACCAAACTACCAAACGGCCACCAGGGAGGCCAAGGGTATTAAAACCAAAAAAAAGTTGTAAGCATTTTTACTTTGAATTAAAGTATATATTTCTTAATTCAATGATGTAATGATACCAATATAATGTTATATAGCTACTAGCCAGGGAAAGCTTTGGGAGTTCATCAGGGACCTCTTACGTAATCGAGAAACGTGTCCAAGTTTAATCTGTTGGGAAGATTATTCTCAAGCGAAATTTCGGTTCGTTAAAAGCGATGAGGTCGCGAAACGATGGGGTTCAAGAAAAGGAAACACAAAAATGACGTACGAGAAACTGAGTCGAGCAATGAGGTAATTTTTCATTCACTTTTTGTTTAAATTATGTTTGGTGATTGTGCAATATTTTTATATAAAAAATATTCTTTCAGGTACTATTATAAAAGCAAAATTTTTCAACCTGTACTCGGTAGAAGATTAGTTTATCAATTTGGACCAAATGCAAAGGGTTGGCAAACTGATAATCCAAACTTCCGATATTAAAAATTTAGGATTGCATTTGTTATAAAAATTGTACAAAAAAGTAAAAGTAACGTTTGTGACCTATTGTGAATTTCGCTCACAGGATGTATCTTAAAATTGCTTTAAAAAGATAACGTTTCTACAATTAGAGATTTGTCAATGTATATTTTGATATTGAAAAAGGAAGTGAAAGTATTTTGTTAATTGAATCGAAACGTTTGAGCATCAACTTGCAATCAATAATCTAAATAAAAGACTAAGAAGAAAAGATCTAGTATTATAGATGATACATACTGACTAGATTTAAATAACGTAAAAAGCAGTATAAATGAATAAAAATGTCGAGGTTTTTATATGTATGACTGAATTTATAGAAATACGTGATAGCAAAATGTGAATACGAAATAATTTAAACTTGTAAGATTTTTTCAATTTATTTGATTTTAAGTATTAGCGTAATAGATTACTTATGTAAAAGTACACATATTATAATCAAGGAAGGCATTAATTCCTTCTGACTTACAATCAAATAAATTTACTATTACTTATTTTTTTATATCACAGAGTTGTATTACATACCTTAATCTGGAAGCATAAGTACTTTTTAAATTGACCCTGGATTACAAATAACATGCCAGGTAATTTCAAAAGAGGGAACTAAATTTTTATAGGTTCGTAACCAATACAAATCCACCATAAATTTTTTTCCTAGAATAGTCTTAAAGGAAATCGAGAAGAAGTATAATCACATTATTTTTTTTTATAAATTATATTAGATGAAATATCGGATTTATAATTGGTGTTAATTCATTTTCGTTTCATTAACGGTTAATTATTAAATGTGGATACTTATTCTACAATAGCACATGCAAGAAAGCTGGCAAAAATATTTGTATTTTTAAATAAATTCTGGACGATTCGATTAGTCATTAACAAATATGAAATATTGAAATTCAAGATACATAGTATCGTGGCGGAAGAAGATATGCTGGTAAAAATGATGCATATCTCCTTTTTAATTCATTTGTTGAAGTTATTTATAGGATTCTTGGATTAAATTTAACTCGAGCGAACTCGAAATCGTTGTTTGTGTAATAAAAGCGTAAAATAATCCCGACTGCACTAATTAAATTTGATCATTTTTTTAAAAATGCACTTTTCAAATACAAAATATTATTATTTAAAATGATCATTAAGAAATATTTAAAAAATTTGGAACTATCATTATTTGAATCAATAGAATATTTGTGCAACCGGGTATGTACTTAAATATCTTTTTTAACACCATCGTAAAATTTTTTACATAATTCGACAGAACTGTAAAATGAAACGCTATCATATCGTTTTTCTCGGAACTACTTAACCTTTCAAAATGTTAACTTTATGGTCAATTATAAATGTTTAAGTTTATCGACTATCAAAAAGGCACGAATCGTAAATAATCTCTACCGTAAAGTTCGCATTAATTGCGACGATATCCTGTAGAAAGCATGTGCGTTGTGATTATGTAAGATAATTTACGGAAACAATCAACGTATAATCTTTGGTTATATATATTAAAAAAAAGTATATAATAAAGTAAAAAAATCTTATATATATAGATTGATAGATTGATAGATAGATTATATCTATCTTCATCATTGCAGGAGTCAAACCTTTCGATCTATACGAGATTATATGATTTCTACAGTTTTACAGGGACTCAAAATGTAAATCACAATCCTATAAAAAATACGGATACTGAACGATTTTTCCTACGCTTTTTAAACCATATTTCATCTATTATTTAATTGTTAATGATAGTCATCAACAATTTTATAGCCAGCAAGCTGTTATGGACCCTATGTTATTTGTTTTTTCTTTTTCTTTTTTTTTCCTTTTTGGCACTTACGTCTATTAAGTAGACTTCAAAGCAAATATCATTAGATTATTCTAAGTAATAAACCTGGCTAGTATTCTTAATATGAATTGTAACCATGAGTCCTCGAATATCTCTAACATGTCTACGACAGACTAATTTACCACGTAAAATTTCCCCTATAAAAAATTCTTATATTTATTTTCTTGTATTTGACAATCAATAATTTTTATTTCAACTTTTATTTAACTTACCTTCAGTAATGCTAATAGGTTCGTTCAATGAAAATACTGTTTGCTTCCAATGTGTTGGAGGCGAATAAGGTCCCGTACTAAAATAAATTGGATTGTCCAAGTCAAAGAAGATATCAAAATAGCCAACAATCGCAGTTAACGATCCAGTCTTTTTTACTTTAAATTCGAAAGGCGATGAAAAATTTACGCAATCTTTCGTTACTTTGTATAAATCGAATGCTTGTATCTCAACAGTGCTAGTTATTAATTCGTCGGCGTTACAAATCTCTATACTCGGTTCGCGTAAAACCTCCGCTTTCATACAGCTCATTTTAAAACCATACACGTTCGACCAATAATCAATGAGTTCGACATATCTCCCTACAAAAATTGATAAGATAAAAATAATAAAATAGAAAGAGTAAATTTAAAAATATTATATAATTCTATTATTTCAAAGATACATACTAGTATCTCCACTTCCCACAATACTGAGTGTGCATCTATTAGGAAGAAGTATTCCACCAGGAGTCAAATAGTTATCTCTCGCATATATCACTGTATCTAACATACCCTCGAATAGAAGGAAATATCCCATCCACTCAGACACAATCGCATCTACTTTATCTTCATCGAGATTAATGTCTTCCAGCCGACCTTTTTTTAAAGTGATAATGTCGCTTAAATTATTTTCTCTATGATATATTAAAAAAGATCATGTTAGATAAGAAAAACCAAATATTGAAAGTGCTACTTATTATATTCTATTTACCTCACTATATCGATTGCATGATATATTACATTTGATTGATCAACACTAATTACTTTGCGGCATCCAGTTTTTGCTGCAAACATAGACAGAATTCCAGTTCCACAACCAACATCTAATATCACACAATTACCAAATCTGTTAGCATTTGTTAAGAATGCATCTCTATAACTTTCGGTTCGTACTTTGTCCTGTAAAAATACTTGTACTCATTATTAAAGAATCATACTCATTATTAAAAAATATACATATACATACCGTTAACATCTCATGGTGTATAGCAAAATGGCTGTAAATATTAAAGTAACCCTTATCAACATTACAATTAGAATTACCAGAAGAGCTGAGAGTATTGTTTTCATCTAAATCACCATCTAAGATCAATTTTTGTGCTTTTTCTGCCATTTCATCTATTTGCTAGAATTGAATGTTTTAATATCTGTTTTATTTTGTATATAGACATTAAGTTTTTTGTGTGAATACCTGTATTGCCAAAAGACATGCTGATTCACGTTGTTCCAATTGTGCTCTAAGTGTTTGTATTGTTCTTTGTAATTCGGCAAAATGTGCCTCAGATAATGTGACACACCCATTTTCTGAATTCACAGTATATGCAATAGGCTTCGTTGTCTTTTCTTCTAAATCTTCAATATCTTTGTGTGCAGAAATAATAAAGAAAAATCAAATATAATTTAAGAAACACTAATTTGTAATGAATTTAATTGTATTCATACTTACCAAACATTAACCAAGGGTCATCTTCTATAACAGGTCTTAAGTATTCCTCACTTTCCCATGTTTTTATGTTCAATGCATTTAGCTGATCAGGTAAAACATTTTTATGTCTAATAAAATTAATCAATTTAATATAGGAATAAGTATCTAAAGAATGTTTGATTATAAAGTTTTTTAAATCAAATCTATGTGAAGCTATTAGATGCTCTAGCGCTATAGAAAAGTTATTGGCAACTTCATTACAAAAAAGGCACGGTATAGATTCAAAATCTTCTGTCACTTCTTCCCAATCATCTCCGCTATCATCATCACTTGTTCCATCCATTTCATATTCATAATTATCTTTTGAAGAAATAGCTAAGGAATGAAAAACATTAAAAACAATCAACAATAATATTAAGTGTTATCAATAATATTAAAATTTAATATCAATAGAAAAATACAACAGTTTGGTAATTCAGAAAATTACTGAATAAATTTTAAAATATTTATAAAATTTTTTAAATTATTATTATATTAGATATACAATATCAAAAATTTTCCAAATAATCAAAATGTAATATGTGATTGCTAGCTATAAATGTTTATTCTTAATTTGTATTATATATAAGTATATAAATGACAAAATATTATATATACCTTGATCTGTCATTTTGCAATTAATTATATAATGAATGAAGTAAATTTGCTACAGTTATTCTTATAGAGACGAGATTGTTTAAAATTTTCAAGGTTAGAGATTCCACTCATCCGTACACGTGCAGAACCTGGTAAAAGCTCTGGCTTAATGTCAAATCAATATTTTCTATGTCACATCACGTTCCTAGCCAATACAAACTTTTTGGCGTAGATGGTCCTCTTTAAACTATAATTTAATATTTATTGATTCGACTCGACATCAAATGCTCTTGACCTTTTTAAGCTTTTTTTATCCTCTTGATGAATCTTGCACTGAAACTGGAACACTTTCTCTGATATGTAACATACAACGGAACTTCGACCTATCCTATAAATTCTATAACTTCTATGTAGTTCTTGACATATGATGAAATAAAATGATTCTTCTTATAAACATTAAGCATTTTATGTAAAAGCTCTCAAATAGATTTAATCATACTTCTTCAACAATTATTAAATTTAGTAACATAAATGGAGTCACTCATCGGACAAATTTTGCGCCGGTGATTATGAAAGTTACTGAGTAGAAAATTAAAAAATCTCATTTATCATTTAGTACATATTATATCGATTTATGTTACAGTAACATAAAATATTTTCGTAAATTTGTTTAGCAGTTAAAAATCTTGTAATTAATTAAAAATTTTATCTAAAAAAGAATGTGTACTATAAAATTAAGAATTTGTCGTGAAATATTTTGTTTTATCATGAGAAAGTACTTTTACCCAAATGTAAAAGTCTAGATATCTAAATATCTTGAAAAAAAGAATATAAAACTTACTCCACTTTCATAATCATTAACGCAATTATGAATGGAAATTTCAGGAATTTTCAAAATTGTTTCGAACGCAACACGCAACAACATTGCGATGAAAGTCGATAACAATCGATAAAAACTTTACATACATTTATAGCATAGAACGTAGCAAGCAACTAACAGGAAATACATATGTGATAGCTGAAAATCTTGAACATTTTTCATTTAGTTACGTTTAATTTGTTTGATTTATAATACGACAATGATTTTCCCTCCCGATATATGGGAACATATATTTTTGTACGTCGATCCACTAACACTTATAAATTTGAAAATAATTTGTAAATGTTGGAAGGAAATTATCGATAAAATATTGCAGGTAAATAATTATAATTTTTACTACAAAGCTTGTTTGCTTTTAACAGAATGAGTATGTATACTCACATAATACATTATTATTAATACATATTCGTATTTAATCTCCCAATTATTTTTCTGACTTATTCGTTATAGCAAAGTACCATGTGGCATAAATTGTGCAAAGATAAAATTCCTGAACATTTTTGGACCACTTTATGCGAAACATTGAGTCCAAAGAAATATACTAATTTTTATGAGAAACATGATGTTAAATTTTGGGTAGCTATGTATAAATTATGGATTAAATGCAAAAACATGAAAAAATGTAATGCACAAAGTAAATGTATTAAGCCATTAAAAGACCATCATTCAGAATATATTACTTGTATAGATACTTCAGGTAATACATTAAAGATACAAAATTGTATTTAGTATTCATAACAAATGTTTTTTGTAGGAAATCTATTAGCAATGGGGACATCTGCAGGATTCGTTTATTTTTACAATATACCTAATTTACGTACAAGCAAACATATAGTTGATCATATGGAATATATAGAAAGTGTAAAGCTTCTCAGAGATGGTATTTATAAATTTTACTAAACAAAAATCTGATAAGAAGGCTTCTAATTAATTATTTATATTTTATAGAAACAAGTATTGTTTGTATATCTAGTTCTATAAATAATCACATATGCTTTTGGGATGTGAGTACATTGAAGCCAATTGATAGAACCCATGGAAAGTTAATTTGGTATGATTTAAAGGACACACTATAATCAAAACAACTATAATCAAAACAATCAATGTAATCATTACTAAATATTAAACATTTAATAGTACAAGTTACAGTTATTGCTATATCGCCATGCATAATATAATAAGTATTGTGGGATCAATACCAAAAACTGTGTATGAACTTGATTCAGATAATATTATTGCTATTGGTGCAGACAATAATAAAGTAATAATAATGGAGTAACTATATAAAGAAATTATAATTTCTTGATTTATTATTTAAATTAAATTGTGACTTAGGTACTTTTATATACAAAAGGAGGGTGCTGTGTAGATTTGACTTTGAATGCAAATCAAAAGGATTATACACTTATACATGTCAACTCTTATACACGTGTTCAACCACTAAATATAAGAATTCGTCGTTATTATGTATTT